CATCCTGCGCTGCGCAGCTTTTTGGCGACACCTCCAGGAAGCTCTGCGCATTAATTTTCCTCCGCCCCGCCCCCCACGGTTGGTTTGAGGAGAGAGGAGCCCAGCAGAAAGGAGGAGGCGTCTGTGAGCAGAAAGGAGAAGCAAAGAGGAGCAGTGCGGCTTCTCCCCCACCTTTAATATGAAACAAGCTCTTTTCTCCTGATGCACGGACGCGGCAGGAGATGCAGTCAAAACTGAAGCTGCGACTGACGGGCTGCTGATTTCTGGGATTGAAAGCGTCGCCTTTTTTTCTCTCTCTCCCCTCCAGCCTATAAATATACATATATTTGGTGAAATATTCGCAGCAGAAAGAGCAAATCGCGTTTATTGCTCGCTGGGTGTTACATAACAGAGAGGCTGTCGCTGTCCAAGGTGCTGAAGCCTAGAACCTGGGACGAGCTGAGGACGGGGCGGGTGGGGGATTCACAACCTTGGGTAAGTCTGCAAATCTCGAATTATCTTAACCTSTTTATTTAACGCTGACGAATGAGCTTTTTGATGGCTGAGCTCGTTTTTATTTGCCCACTTTCCAGCCGCACAGAAGGTCACGGGCCTGTGAGTCGTGAGGAGGAGGGAAAGCTCTGCAGCCGCTGAGCAGACGGGAGGGTAACTGGGTTATATTCTGATTTTCCTCCATCAACAACCAACCACCACCATCACCGCTGGTGAAAATACTTTTCTGAGAGAAAATGTCGGGGCAGACGCTCACGGATCGCATCGCCGCTGCGCAGTACCAGCTAACGGGATCAGACATGGCCCGGGCTGTCTGCAAAGCCACCACTCATGAAGTGATGGCGCCCAAGAAGAAGCACCTGGAATGTAAGAGCGCCTCTTTTCCTCCAGCCTTAGTTAGCACGAAGCTGCACGCGCACAGGTCACCACCGTGTTTGGCCAAAAGCGTTATCTTAATTGGGTGTGGTGCCATAAGATGACCATAACTCTGCCAATTTGACATATAATATGCTAAAATTTGGTGTGGTAGTAGCTGAGAGTCATCACAGCGCAAACAAATCCTGCAAGGTGTGTTTGGAACTCTGTGGATAATGAAGTCAACTTAAATGTCTGATGAACCACTGAACAGATTTTAACTGGATACAAATTTATAGCTGATCAGCTTTTTGAGCCAAATCGATTTAAAATGGCAGACACAGTCAACTGACCTCATAACTCACAAAAATGGCTACAATTCAGTCAACTTCATACATAATCAATTAAAACTTTGTGTGGTAGTAGCCGAGAGGCGTGCCCAATACATATTCTGAGCGCTCCCGACTGGGAAAGATTTTTGTTTAAAATCTTGACATTGACTGTTGGAGTCAAACATGTTTGTCTGTTAGCAGAATATTTAAAGGGATCTCCGATTAATTGTAACATTAAACTTTATTTAATAAACATGTATTTTAACTGTAAAATAAAGACTGTAAAAATACTGTAGGATGTTTCGTTTTCATAATTTTCAAACTAAAAGTTTAAAAATATATTACA